GCCTGCAGCCTACTCTCTCCACAGAGCTGACAGGGCACAGGGACAACATCGATTATTCTTGGAACTTGCCTGTAGGAATGCAGCTGTGTGCAGACACACTGATAAGCACACACTTCTTTACATAATTATTTGTAAATTTTTTTTATTTATTCTCTATAACTTTTTTAAAAAAAATTCATCACTTTCCCCCTAATCAAAGAGGATTTTGATCGGAATTCTTGTGGGGAGCCCCCTGCTCTCCCAGATGCCCACCGTCATTTCTCTTGAAGGGAGGAAAAACATCAGCTCTCTTGATTTCTACTCTAATCCTCTAGGACTGAAACCAGAAGGTTGCATGTCCCCTGCATGAGCATCCAAAAAGGTCCTGTCTGTGGAAACAGGAGTGTCACAGCCTTGACTGAGAACCATGGTCCTGAAATGAGACAGTGTCCCCAGTGGAGAGCACACGTGGACGCCCACATCTGAGGGCTCACTGCGCCTCACCACAGATGCACTCCCCTACTGAGTCCTGAGACCTGAGTGCACCCCATAGAGTAGTACTCAGATGAGGGGATGCAAATCTCCACCAGCTCCACCCTCCTCTGGGTTGAAAAGCCGAGCACCGGGACTGGCTCAGTGACTCCTGTGCCCCACGATGGACACGCTTTGCTCCACGCTCCTGCTGCTGACCGTCCCGTCCTGTGAGTGCTGTGGTCAAGCACTACTTCAGGGGTGAAACATCTGCTCTTTTCTTTGTGGACTTCATCTTCTTATGCTTTCTCCACAGGGGTCTTGTCCCAGGTGACCTTGAAGGAGTCTGGTCCTGCGCTGGTGAAACCCACACAGACCCTCACGCTGACCTGCACCTTCTCTGGGTTCTCACTCACCACTAGTGGAATGGGTGTGGGCTGGATCCGTCAGCCCCCAGGGAAGGCCCTGGAGTGGCTTGCGAACATTTATTGGGATGATGGTAAATACTACAGCCCATCGCTGAAGAGCAGACTCACCATCTCCAAGGATACCTCCAGAAAGCAGGTGGTTCTGACAATGACAAACATGGACCCTGTGGACACAGCCACATATTACTGTGCACGGGGACCACAGAGACACAGCCCAGGGCACCTCCTGTACAGGAACCCAGGCTGCTTCTCAGGGGTGCTCCCTCCCCACCAATGCAGAACAGGAAAGAGCGGTCGAGATGCCTTTTCCTGACAGGGCCTGGGCTTCTTATTCCCACCTGACTCAGACCCTTGTCTTCCTCCCTCTTCTTTACTAATGAATGGCATGTCCCTTGCTAGTGGTTCTTGCAAGCAGAAGCTGTTTCCTGTTTGACAATGATTCAGCAGGAAAGGTTCCTGTTACCTAAAAAAAAAAAAAAAA